AAATCCATCAACTTTATTGTAAAACAAAACTTAACTGACATTGGGACTGTGATGCCACTTAACCAAAAGGAGGACCGTGCAGGAAAATTCTTCTGGCCTTTAGAGTCTATAAACCGCTATAATAACACTCCATAATGGAGTGTTCTTGCAAGGAGGAGCAAAGACTAATAAACTTAAACTGTAGCCAGTTTTTGAACCACTCTGTAGTTAAGAAAGGATAACTGACAACCAGAGACTCAGAGTAGTCTCAGCCCTAATGGTGACTTCTTAGGAGTGGATGTATATCCATAAAACATGAAGAGTTTATGTTTAATGTTTATACTTCTATCAAACTAAAATTTGGTGAAATTTTTCTAGGAGATTCCCATTTGGAGGAGTCTCTAGCTTATACAATTAAGGGGACTTTTAATAAAAAAAAAAAAACTGCAAAATTACAAATATAAAATTAGGTACAGGATTTTGGAAGGAGGCCCCTAAGAAGGAGGAGCCCTTAACCTAGTCATCAATAGCATCTCAGCCAATCCTCCCTGCTCTGACTCAAAAGCTCATCAACCAAGATAACACAGGACAGTAATGGGTACACCTCCTTTTCTTTAAGAATTATTGTGCCAAAGCAGAGTTTCCATGGTATGTGTGGTAAAAGCGAGAAGCATCATCCTGAGCCTTGGGAGACTGCGATCTATGTTGTTTTGGGGATACTTGAGTTTCTGTGGATGCAAATACTCTGGAGAAGCTCTATTTGTTGACAATGGCAGACACCCAGTCCTCGATGCTCATAAAACTATGGCAGTCAAGAGTTGGGAAAGATATATTAGGTCATCAATCTCAATTGGAATCCAAGGCAGGATGGTTCACTATTGTAGTCATTCCAAGCCTTTGTCTAGGCAGCTTTGAAATGTCTGGAGGGCCGAAGTTTTAGGAGACTATTCTCCTCTGGTTCCTGGGCAGATGTTGAGGTGTTCAATTTTTTATTTTTTGAAAAGACAATTTAAGAGTTGGAGCCACACAATGACTTAATTATATCCATTCACTTAGATATCTATCAGTGATTTCCACACGAATAAGTAATTTACTGTTAAGAAACCCTTGTATCTCTGGCATAAAGTTGTCATCTAAGAACAAATCACTGATGTTTTTTTCTAGTTCCTTATATTTCAACTTTGGTGATGAATATCTTTTTAGCTTTAGGAATAAAAGCAAATTGGTGGTGTTTTCCTTAGCCAGCATTATCAAGAATGAGTAACATTTAAAGTTGCTTTTGTTAATAGAAAGTAGCTTCCTTGCCTTTCCCTTAAACGTTTGAGTCTGTTTACCTCTGCCATTAGTAAACCTGGTGTGCTCCCAATTTTTATCTTAGGTTATTGTGGGGCTATAGAAATGGAAAATCTTAGAACTAAGCTTTTATTTTCTCATGTTTTCCTTTAACTTCATATTGAATAATCCTGATCTCCCAAAAGATTTTGGTGGCTACTGTTGTGTAAAAGAGGATTGTTCTAGGCTACAAAAGAATACATTTGAATTAATACTGTTGTTTGACTAATGTATGCTATGTGTTTTCAGTGAAATAATTTATGTACCTAAGGTGTATGTGTGTGTGTGTGTGTGTGTGTGTGTGGTTTGCTTACTCTTCCTGAAAGTATTGAAAATAATTTTCTTTTTGATAAGTAATGCTACTGGCAAATATGAAAGTGCTAAAGAATAGCATAACATTTGAATATTAGTACTTCAAAGTCAATTTCCATTTTAAATCAAGACAAGTGAGTGTTAATTTACTGATGCCAGTGACATCAGTATTAGTAATGGGCTTTTTCGGCACCAAGCAATCCTCAAAAGCCTTTTTTTTAAATTCTGAAAGATGGGCTCCTAGTTAATCAGCTATCAAGAAACTGACCATAAATGTCAACCTGAGTTAAAGTTACCTGAATTGAATTAGATTAAAAAGTTGACTGGGAATTCATCCAATATGTGCTCATCAAAAAACAAAGGTATTTGAAAATGGAAGAAAGAAATAGGGGGAGACAAAATTGGGAGACAAAATTAATTTGAAACCTCTTAGACCTGGAAAATTGGTTAAAGATAGAAATGCTGAAGGTAAAAAGATTTTATTTTTACTTTAAAAATAGTTCATGATCAGGCACAGTGGCTCATGCTGTAATCCTAGTACTTTGGGAGGCCAAGGCAGGAGGATCACTTGAGGCCAGGAGTTTGAGATCAGCCTGAGCAAGAGTAAGACATTGTCTCTGCAAGACTTAGAAAAGTTAGCTGGGCATGGTGGCACACACCTGTAGTCCCAGCTAGTTGGGAAGCTGAGGCAGGAGAATGGCTGGAGCCCAGAATTTTAAGGTTGCAGTGAGCCAAGATGACACCACTGCATTCCAGTCCAGGAGGCAGAGCAAGACCCTGTCTCAAAAACTAAATAAAATAAAATAAAATAAAAATTGTTCAATACAGTATGTCTGTCCCTGGGATTTTTCTGTGACATACTGCTTTCAGAAATGTGCTCATCCACACCAACAAATAGAAATTACTGAAAGGTACAAAATTACCAGAGGTATAATGTCACTGAAAATTATTGTAAGAATATTTTTCCAACCCAAAACATTCAATTTGCCAAAAGACTTTTCATATAATTTGTACTTAAATGTAATCTTATAAAAAATGTAAATTATTTTAATTGTGCATTAAACAAATTCTCTTTAGGAAAAATAATAAAATTACATGAGTTTGGAACTGTCCAGAAAATTATGAACTATGTAATGAAAAGTTAATATTGCTAGTGACCTCAATAATGTTGGTTATACTAAATTCCTTACTGGCAAATAAATTGTAAACTCTCAAATGGATGGATATTTGTCCTGAATAGAATGCTTTAGATAGGGGTGAGCTAAATAAGTGTTTATGGGACAAATGAACACAATTGAATTCAGGTAGAGCTCAGACTGTTCACTGCTTGACATACATTTTCCTGATTGTCTTTATTAGTTATGCCTCACTTAAATAGTAACTGACCGAGTGATAGCAATTGAATGTATTTACATCCTCTGTGCTAATGAGCACTTTCAAATGTTCTCTGAAAATTAACATGTCTATATTGGTTAGGAACTTGGTTTAAAAAGAAAAGAAATTAATTTGCTCATGTAATAAAAACATTCCAGTGGTAGAACAGATCCAGTTTCTCAAACAACATTGACAGGAATGTCTTTCTTTAGATCCCAACTTTACCACTTTCTGTGCCGTTTTCATTCTTAGGCAAATACAGTGGCAAAAATGGAACCACTCAGCAATCCCAGGCAGGAGATTGTTTCTTTTACAATAGAAGCTGACTTCCTATTGTCCCAGCTTGGGTCACATGCCCATCCCTGAACCTTACAATAGCGCTGCAGTGGCGTGCTGGTGTATTAGTTTCTTGTAGCTGCCAAAACAAATTACCAAACACTGAATGGCTTAAAACAATAGAAATTTATTCTTTCACATTTCTGGAGGCCACCAGTCTGAAATCAAGGTGTCAGCAGGGCCATGGTACCCCCAGAAGCTCTAGGGGAGATTCTGTTTCTTGTCTCTTCCAGGTTATGGTGCCTCCAGGCATTCCTTGGTTTGTGGGCACATCGCTACAGTCTCTGCCTCTGTGGTCACACTGTGTTCTTGTCACATCTGTATGTCTCCTTTATGTGTCTGTGTCATCTTACTCTCAGCTTCTGTTCTATAAGGGCACATGTGATTGTATTCAGGACCCACCAGGACCTTGTCTCAAGATCCTTAACCTAATGACAACTGCAGCAGTCTTTTTCCAAACAAGCTCACATTCACAAGTTCCAGGGGTTAGGATGCAGGCATATATTGGGGGGAGGGGACACCATTCAACCCACTACAGCTGGTAAATGTTTAACAATCTCCTTGGCGGGAAAAGGGGAAGCGCTGGTATACAGCATTTGCCTAGTTCTCTGAGTACCACCCCCATGGCCAATTTCAAGCTCTCAAAGAGAAGTCACTGAATGTGGAACTGGGAAGAGCTGCCCAGCGGCAGACTGTTATACGGTATTTCCATCATACAGATCCAACAGAGGTAAATAATTGCCAACAGCATAGATAATGGTAAAATGTAGACAAATGAGTAGGAAGTGATAAGGTTTGAGTATTATGATCTTTGTTTTTAATTTATTTAATTATAAAGTTTATATGCCTTAAATTTTAATAGTGATTGTGTCTAACAACTGACTCACAAAATTTCTGAACATTTACGGGTTGGTTTGCATGAGCTGGTATGAGCTGGCTCCAACACACCCCTGGATAGAATATGCTGGCTAAAGAGTCCTGAGTCATAGAGCATGGGTGGAAAGTCAGCAATATCCAAACCACATGAACTAAAATTGGGGTGTGTGGTTTCTTAAGAGAATATTGGGGTGCTGTTACCTAAGAAAGGGAAAGGAATATTAGGAAGACAAAAACAATAAATGCACCTCAGTATCATTGTTTAAACATATTTTAATGATTTCAGGCTAAGGAAAAACATTTCAGCAAAGTTCAAAAGAGTTACAGGTATGAATATTGTGGGTGTGCAAGAACCTGCAAATCAGACTCTCTCCACCTAACATACAATCACTATTTTTCACATCATCATTTCAGTTGGCTCATAAAATCTGTTTTTCAGCCTAGACACACTTATCCCAAAGTGACCAGGTACAGAGAAAGAGAGATAAACCAGTGGTCTTTTTAAAAAGTATTATTTTTTAAAAAGTTTTGACAGATTTATTGCAATATAATTTGCACACCGTGCAATTTAGCTATTTGTAATACAATCACTGAGTTGCGCAACCATCACCACAATTAATTTTAGAACATTTTCATCATAATCAAAAGGAAACTCTGCACCATTTTTCTGTCATCTTCCAATCCTCCCACCTTCTCTCCAAGCCCTAGCCAACCACTAATCTGTTTTCTATCCCTATAGATTCACTTATTCTAGGAATTTCATATAAATGGAATCATACACTGTGTGTTCCTTTGTGACAGGCTTTTATTTAGCATGATGTTTCAAGGTTCATCTATGTTGTTGCATGTGTCAACATTTCATCTCTTTTTATTGCTGAATAGCACTCCATTATATGGATATACCACATGATGTTTATCGGTTCATTAGCTGATGAACATTTGGATTGCCTTCCCTTTTTGGCTATTATGAAAAGGCTGCTATGAACATTCATGTACAAGTCTTGTGTGGGCATAAGTTTTCATTTCTCTTAAACCAATGTAAGTTAAAAATTTTAGCAGGCTTCTTATTTTCCACATTATTAAAGAAATCGTTATTTATGACATAACTCAGAAATGCCTCATGTAGAATTTCAAACCTCTTAAATATTGGGTTGCCAGATCCCAACCCCTGCTAATTCTAGGGAGGAGGTGGCTGCTACTTGCAGGGAGAAAGTAGGAGCTGACTTGGGGTTCGCAGACCCCTGCCCAGGGCTGGCTGAATTCCTTCTCCAGCACCTTGCACACAATAGGCTCACAATAATCAGCCCATAACAAAGTTCCTTCAGAGACTCTCCATATGCAAAGTATATAGAATAATAAAAATAAAACTTGAATTTCTGACCTGGAAATCAGAGTCATGGGGTTTGGGAAACTTTCAAGAAAGAAGGGGAAAAAATTAGCTTCCCTGATAGAGGCCAGTAGAGAAGTTCATTTTCTCCCTTGCGTGACTTGGGGGAGTTCTTTGGTGTGTCCTGCAGACCTGCAATGAAAAAGAGGGCCCTATATTAATTTATATACCAACTTTCTTCCAAGAAATCCAGAGTGTCTCAAACAGTCTTTCACTCATTCCCCTAAGGGAGTTTGCATAATATGTGTAAGAAGTTACTTCTTTTAAAATTTACACTCTCCAGTTAGCCAGTACTGGGCAGAAATAGAACTAGAAAAGCAGACCTCCTGGCCAAACATTCCACTATAATATTTTCAGTGAGTGTCTATAAATCATTGCATATCCTTAAAAACAGGATCTCGCCATAATATCCCCATGACTACTCACTGATGACTGACATTTCTTTTACCAAGAGCAAAAGTTTCCCTTCCAAATTAGAATCAACTGGTATGGCATGTACTGGACAATTGAAGTATATCACTTACTTATAATTAAGTGCTTGGGACTGCCCAGACCCTCAGACAGGCTGTCTAGTTTAACTTTCTACCTCAGCCCTCCTAACTTACCCCAACTAAGAACCACTTAAGAATCCTAGGACTGGCTCAGTGCAAAGGAGAAGGAGTACTGTTTACAAACTCCAAGCAGAAAACTGGAGTCGGTTTCAGTCAGTCCCATCTGGCTCCTTGTGTTGTTTTTACATGGGCCTGCACTGCCCCTTAGGGCCTCAAGGGTCACAGTGGGCAGCACACTCAGCTCCAGGTTCCCAAAGTCCAACTCAGGACCTCAGTGGATGAGCCTGGGAGCATCAGCCACATACAGGGCTGGCCCCAGCCCTCAACCCCAAACATATAGTTCCTTGTGCTGGGCCTTTCCTCAAGATATTGTGAAGCTTCAATGCCCATCTCTGAAAAAAGAAAACGTCGGTCAGGGCCACACTGGCTCATATGGAATCTCAGGGAATCACATCTGGGGAATATCTGTGCTTTTCTTCCCCTTCCCCAGAAAAACCTCTGGGAGCCATAAGTTCCCTCCCAGTGGTTAACAGAGAATGGGATGTCTTAATCCAATTAGTGACAAAAAGTTCATGCCAGTATCCCATGCAGCCTCCAGCCTCAGACACATTTTGTTTGGGTCTCCGTAATCTTAACATGTATTCATACATTATTTATAATTTGTATTAGTTGTCAACCAGGACTGGCTACATAGTTTGTGAGGGACCATTGTAACATGAAAATGTGGGCCCCTTGTGGAAAATTTCAGAATTTCAATATGGTGACAGCAGAGCATTCAATCAATGTGGGGCACTTCTCAGTATAGGATCCTGTATGACTGCACAGGTTGCACACGCATGAAGCCAGCCCTGCTGTCAATATTTAAAAAGCAAAAGATTCTTAAACTGGAAAATCTGGCAACCCCGGGTCCGCATGTCCAAATGGCAGCACATAATCTGTTGGTGCCAGGTAGTAGCTTGTATGACTTTGCTGGGGCTGCCATAACAATATATCACAGATTGGGTGGCTTAAACAACAGAAATTTATTTTCTCACAATTCTGGAGGTGCAAGTCTGAGATCAAGTGTCAGTAGGCCTCTTTCCTTGGCTTGTAGATGGCCACCTTTTCCCTGTGTTTTCATATGGTCTGCCCTTTGTCCATATCTGTGTCCTAGCCTCTTCTTATAGGGAGTCCACCAATCATATTGAATTAGGGCCCACCTTGTTTTAACTTAAGCACCCTTGAAAGACCCTATCTCCAAATATAGTCACATTCTGAAGTACTGGGAGTTAGAGCTTCAAGGCATGAATTTTGGAGGGATGCAGTTCAGCCCATAACACACCTGTTTCTTTTCTTTTCTTTTCTTTTTTTTTTTTTTTTTTTGGAGACAGAGTCTCACTTTGTTGCCCAGGCTAGAGTGAGTGCTGTGGCGTCAGCCTAGATCACAGCAACCTCAAACTCCTGGGCTCAAGCGATCCTGCTGCCTCAGCCTCCTGAGCTGGGACTACAGGCATGTGCCACCATGCCCAGCCTATTTTTTCTATATATATTAGTTGGCCAATTAATTTCTTTCTATTTACAGTAGAGATGGGGTCTTGCTTTTGCTCAGGCTGGTTTCGAACTCCTGATCTTGAGCAATCCACCCACCCAGGCCTCCCGGAGTGCTAGGATTACAGGCGTGAGCCACTGCGCCTGGCCATCACACCTGTTTCTTTTAGAGGTGGGCCCAGTTCTCCAAGTCTCTGCACCAATCCCAGTGCCAACACTTGCTCTCACACACATTTCCCCCTTCCTGAGGCGGGGGTTCATTGCTATAGGTCAACTCATTTGTGCTGCTGTTCTTCTTCCTGGTTCACCTGTCTCATTTAGAGGGACCCACTCCTCCCCTGCAGCATATGGAATAGTGACACTGTCTACTACGGGACAGCAGCTGCACACTCCCTCCACATCTGCAAGGTGAAGGTTGCTGCTCAAGTGATCCTTCACAGGACAATCATTAATTTCTTAAGAAACAACAACAACAAACTGTATCCATTACACAGTCTAAGTGCAATGCAGAAGGAAGAAATTGCTATATGTACCTGACTACTAACCTCAGACTAGAGTTGCAGGTTTCAGGAGAGAGAAACTCTCAGCAACTACATAATTTTTTCCCAGGGATGATCCTACTTAAAAATCACACGATTGTACAAGGGACACCCCCAAATTTCAATGGAAACCCAACTGCATAGCCCCTTAGAGAGAATGTACTCCCGAATTGGTCTTTGTACCTATTTGTAGAAAAATGTTAGCCAGATTATAGCTGAAAATTCTGCTAATTCTGGGAAAGTTTTTGGTCCTGTGCCTGGAACTATTGAAGCATATATTCACACCTACTGCATGTAACACTTAGTAGCAGAATTTCCAGCACAATACTTTAGTACTTTATTTTTAAAAGAAACAGAGCAGGGAGACTGAAGTCCTGCTCACCCTGCAGCTTTCCCCTACAGGAGGCTCCACAAAAGGTTGGTGGGGGTGAGGAGAGACTTCTGTGCTGGAAAGAGGTATATTTTGCATTTTTGAAAGGAAAGGAGACACTAAAATATTTGCTCATAATCAGGGCACTCATGACGCTGGAACATACAACATTTGCAGCAGCATGTAATTAGAAAAAATAATGTCGGATTTGCAAGGCTCTGAGACAAAAGGGTGCAGTGTAATGACTATCTAACAAATCCCAATTAATATTAGAGTTTGGAATAGACTTTTAAAACATCTCACTCTAATCCCTTTAGTTTTGAGACAAGGAAAGGGATGTTTTAAAATTTTAAATGACTTACCCCAACCAGGACACCACCTTAAATGCAGGTCTTTTCTTTCAGGCCAGTGTACTTCCCACCCCACCACCAACTAACTTCTAGACAAGCATTGTCCCGTCTGCCTAAATTGCATGCAAAAAAAAGACAAAACCCCACTCTCTCTACACCAGAGTCTCTACTTAGACTCCAGAGTTGAGAAAGCAAAGGCTATTACAACTTCAACTCCCTTAGCAAACAGAAGAAAAGGCATCTGACCCGTGGACTCCTCCATCTGGTCCCTGGGTCTCGGGGCCTGCAGGTCTCCACCGCTGCTGGCTGACACCGGCGACCAGTCTGACACCAGGGGGCGCAACAGCCTTTGTCCTGACAGGCATTGAAGGCAGGCTCTGAAGCCTGGCTGGGCCTTCAAAACAATCTGACTTTCCCTCCTTTCACAATTTCTCCATCACCTTAAAGCCATGTTCCCCTTCCGCCCCGGTCTCAGATTCTCCTTCTCCACCACCTCAGACTGGCTGGTGCAGGCTTGCGGCCCCTCTCCAGCTGCTCCTCCTCTGCAAAGGCAAGGAGACCAGGGCTCTGGCCTGTCATTTACTCTCACTCGCAGGCCCCTAAATGCATGTTTCTAACAATTCTTCCAGAACGAAGAACACTCAAGAACAAGACAAGGTTCCTGGAAAGATTGTCACATTCATCCTCTAATATCCCTCCCTGCTTCTCTCACAAAAATAATAATAAGCAAATTAAATAACTAGTTCTGGGAAGCTCATGCCGTCCAGCACCCATCCCTTACCCCCTTCTTTCTAACCCCTGAACAGTCTTAAGGACAGCCTTTGGTGGTGGCTGCCTACCCAAAGGGACAGGCTTCAGCATCCTTTTGCTGATACCTCTGCTACTGTCACCCACCCACCATGCACCCCAAGCCGGATAACTGACTCCTGTGTCCTCAGCAACTTGGATCTCCAGCAGAAATAAATCTGCTCCACACTGGCCCAGGCCTCCCAATTCCAAAGGCTCAGTGCTCCCTGTTGTTGCAGATAAATGAGCATCCTTTTCCACTTTAAGACACACTCCTAACCCTGCCCCTACAGACACAAACACCCACACACACTGCAAACCCTCAAACATCAAAATCACACCCTTTGGCAAAGAACCCTAAAACTCTACTGTTCCAAACTGAAGGCCCCCAAGGTCCTTCCCATGCAGGTCTTTGAAAAATAGCTATGTGTACATAGATTTCAAGTTCGAACAGTCCTTTCCCTGTCTGTCGCTGGAGCCTTCCAACAACCCTAAGAGATAGGTAGGGGATCTAATGCTCAAGAGGCTTGTCTCAGCACCAGATCTAGTGCAGGATGGAGGTGGCACTGGGGTCTTAGGTGACAGGGCATGGGGAGAGTCGCTTGTCCAGCAACACTAAGGCCTAGAGGAATGCAGCCACCAAAGGTGGTCATCAGATTATACACACAGAAGAGCCCGTGGTCTCAGGAGGCTCGCAGGGGCAGGAGGAGCAGCGGAAAAGAGGGCCTCATCTCAACTCTGACCTTACTCTTCTTTTTATCTGTGGCCTCACTCACTATTTTCTCCCCATTCACCCTAGCTAACACAGAGTAGCGGAAAGTGCTGAGCCTGGAGACAGGTAGCCATGGCTTCTTATCTTGATGGTAAGCCTCCTCCCTCTCACTCATAAAATGATAATATCTATCAGATATAGAGAGAGCCACCAAAGCAATGAAACTATAAATATTATTCTGGGAAAGGGAATGGAGTGGGAGACTTTTACTTTCATTTTACTGTCTCTTGTATTATT